GGGTTCTTCCTACAGCGATCACCTTATAGCAACTCCGGGTATCATGTTACGGAGAGGAAATCACTGGGAAGTAAATGGTCGTCATGTGTCAAGCCTTGGGCGTCTTCCAGGAGGGTTCCTTTCTCCCAGAGTGGGGGATCTAATCTGGTTCACTTGATTTCGAGCGTTGTCTGCAGGTGAACATGCAGAAACACAGCCAGCATTTTCTTAGAGAGCGAGCAATGACACACCCTTTTGCACACAGTTGTGGGAAGGAAATTGCATAAAGGTATTGGACCCTGAGGGAACCATGTGTTTCTTCCGAGGGCTGAAGCAGCCTCCCCTGGTCTGGCCTTCAAAAGGATGCTTTCCAAATGGCGGTGCAAAGCCCAAGAAGGGAACAAGAGGGAGGAGAAGACAACGTACGGGCGAGCACAGTGTGCGTGGGCCTCTTTGGGGTGATGAGGCACAGACCCACTCCAGAGGCTGGCACTCGGTGGGAAAGAAAAGGGACGGCCGGGTGGCTGCAGCCTGCTGAGGACTGCTGACAAGCTGGCAGTCAGCCAGGGCCGCCTCCCTGCTCAGGCAGGCCTCCCTACGCCAGAGGACCAGGCGATCCCTCCCGGGATCAGACCGGCTTCACTTCAAATCGCTGCACAGGTCACTCACGGGACGTGGGCTGGGGGGTGGGGGTGCGGGCAGGCAAGCGGGCAGGGGGGAAGTGATTTAAACCCTCTGAGAGATAACTGAGAAAGAATTCAGTGAGAATCACCGAGAAGTATTAGCAAAGCTACTGTCCTCACTGTTTCTAAATAATAGGTAGGTGTGGCAGACCAATTCCCAACAGATTAGCAGCATCCCTGAGTCTGATGCCAACCGGGTACATTCACTCCCTCCATGCCCCGAAGCCATGTCAAACACTCCAGGTACATAGCGGTCTACAGACTAAGAAACGCTTCCCGGCACACTCTGTCAACAAAGCCCAAGAAGTGAGTTGGGGGGGTGGCGGGTGGGAGTGGGATATCACTAGCCATTAGAAGGGGATCAACTTTGGTCAGTGGAGTCTATTAAAGGTGGTTAAGGGCAGGCCCCAGGCCATGACCCAGGTTTCCGGATGAGTGGCTTGGCATTTTCTGGACTCCATGCTGTTCCCATCAAGGACATCTGTGTGGGGGTGGTCACGCCTGAGTGCAGGACTTCCCTTTTCCTCCCCAGGGCTTCTATTGGCCTCCTCTAAACCTGTTATGAATGAATCTAGGGGACAGGGCTAGCGTCCCACAAGTGGAATCAGAGAAGGGACCCACAGCTAAGTCAGGTCAGGCGTGTGCCTGCCAAGATACCTTCACAGACAGAGCTAGCTCTGGCGTGGCAGGCAGCTGAAACCAGGCCCAGTTTGACCCTGCTGCCAGCTCGCAGTCTCATCAGGGCAGCAGTCCTTGGAACGGCACAAGGCCGTAGCCTCTCCGCAAGGGTGGCAAGCCCTAACCTTTCCAGCCGCCATCAGCCTGTCCACTAAACACCTGGCATTTAAAAGAGAAAGAAAAACATATGTTTCCTCCATTCTAGAAAGGCCAGGCATATTTATCTGACTTAATGGTTTATCACTGATATTCAGTGCCTCCCTGAACTGATCAACCCACCCCCCTCTGCTGCACTAGATCCTGCCCCAAGGCCCGCCCATGTCGGTCACTGGGCACCTCTACCTCGGCCTACTCTGTGTGCTGCTGCAGGTCCCCACAAGGGCAGTGACCCACACGTCCTCCTGTCAGCAAAGACACCCCAGCCAGCTGACCCAATTCTACCATACTGCCAGACCCCACGACCATGGCAGCCCCAGGGCCCCTTTAGCACTGGCAACAATGCAGAACCCACCCACCCTGCCCTCCCCTCGCAGCAGAGGGCTCTCTGGCTGAAGAAAGATGGAAGAGCTCAGAAAGGTCCTACAGCCAGCACTAGAGATTAGGGAGGAGCCCTGAGATGATTCTTGGTCAGTACTAAGATCCACTGCACCCCACCCCACTCCACGACCTGTCCTCCCCTCCTCAGAAGCTTTACCGGGAACCGGAGAGACTAGGGCTCTTGGTTTCCTAAGTCTAGAGAGGCCATTCCTTGGCTAACCCCAGAGATGAGGCAGAGGAGGGAAGTCTGGGAAAGACCCTTAGGTAGAGGAGTGTGGGACCAGGCTCACCTGAAGAGGAATACAAGAGCCTCCCTCCATGGAAAGGTTTTTATTTGAAATATAGTCTGAGCAACACGAGTGTAGTCAAGAGGAGGAGGGGCTGGCCTGTCGGGAGCAACAGCCTCTCCAATGGCACAGGAGCAAGAGGACAAATATCCCAACGTCTGTGTGCCCCCAGACCCATCCCACAGCTCAGGAAGGAGGCACAGTAGCCGAACAAGTCCTGCACAGCCCCCAACCCTCTGAAGGAAAGGAGGCAGCTGACTGCCATGCCCGCCTGCCTCTGCAGCACCCCCTGCTCTGCCCGAGCCCCCACTAGCACTGCCAAGTTTCACCCACCCACTGGGACACTGGCCAATTCGTTCTCCAGGGCAATTTGGGGACAAGGAATCGGAGAAGATAGAAGGGAGGACAAGGCAACCAAGGGCTCTCACAGGACAGCTGGGCAGAGCTCTCTGAGAGGGACTTGTGTGGGCACCCCTTGCTCCCCCTCTTCTCAGGCTCAGATAGTGGGAGGGGAGCTGGAGTGCTGGCGGCTGAAGGTAAGCAGAGCTCCCAGGAGCCCGCAGCTGAGGGCAGCCAGCAGGGGGCCTCCCAGAAGAGCACAGCAGCTGAGGGTCTCAAGCCAAGTTCACAGCACCGGGGCTGGGAGGACACAGACAAAACTGGGGTACCAAGAAGCAGCACAAAGCTACATAAATAACAGAAGCAAATCCAGAGCTGTTAGGGTCCTGGAGCCGGGGGGGCCACTCAGCCCCCTGTAGCTCAGGGCAGACACTGCTCCAGGGCACGGCTGGCCTCATTCCCACCAGGGCAGGGCCTGTCACCTCTCATTGTCCGCGTGGTCAGTGGAGGACACTAGGGCGACACCCAACCTCAGACTACGAAGCCTCTGGTCACACCTAAAGGGAGGGTGTGTGGCTATCCTGGTCCGCAGGGGCCTGTGGCTGACTCCGAGCATCCTGGGCACCATCTGATCTTGCCTCGCGTTCAGCCAGCAAAGACCCGCTAGCACATTCTTCCAGTCCATTCTCCCTGGTCTTCGTGGGCACCGCCTCCGCAGAGCCCACCTCAGGCTCTGCCGCCTCCGTCGCTGGCTCCACCACCTCCTCCCCGTCCTCTTCCCCCTCCTGGTCTCGCATCTTGTGGACGATGAAGAGATGGCGGCTGAGGGAGCTGGCAGAGGTGTAGCACAAGCCACAGAGGAGACACTGGGCTGTGGAGTTGTCCGTCTGGTGCTGAGGTATGTGGCTCTTGAATTCGAGCCCCGAGTCTGTTGCAAAGCTACACTTTGCACACTGAAAAAGGGACTTGTGTCTTTTGGGGGAGGAGGCAGCCATGCCACTGGAGGTGTCCACAGCGTCGACGGCTTCGCTTTTTCTTTTCAGATGGTTCACCTGGAAGGACACACAGCACAAGCAGAGTCTAGACTGACCTCGGTCCTACACATAAGGCCCCTCTGACCTGATGAGTGCATCCCGCAGGACCCCCAGCAGCCACCACCTAAGTTGGGGTCACCCCAGTCCCAAATGCTGGTTTAGGTTTGTTTTTTTTCTAAATGTAACATATCCATGAGGGGTACACCATTTCAAAGATGTACACAGGGTACAGAGAAAATCAGTCGTCGTCCCCGAGGCTTGCAGTCCTGAGGCAGCCATTTCACCTGGGTTTTGTAACTCTTGTACATGTACAAGCAGGCGCCCTGATGTATAGTGGTTATGTGTTGGACTGCTAACTGCAAGGGCAGCAGTTCAAAACCACCAGGCGCTCTGTGGGAGAAAGAGGAGGCTTTCTACTCCCTTCAAGAGTTACCGTCTCGGAAACCCATGGGGCAGCTCTACTTGTCCAGGAGGGCTGCTCTGAGGTAGCATGCATTTGCTTGCTGGCTTTGACACACGACAAAGAGCCGTGCACTTCACAGCACACAGCTTGTCTACGCAGGCGTACGCACGTGTGGTTCTCCCTCAGTTAGGCTCCACCCCACCGTGAGGACGAACCATGAGGGACACTGAGTTGAATTCCAGCATTGTCACTGCACACAGGGCTGAAGTAAACATCCTTGAACATGGCTCTTTGTGCCCAAGGCCGAAGACGGGACAGATAACTCCCTAAGAGTTGGGCCCAAGGGTAGGTGCATCTTGGGAGCAGGGAAGGGATCAGCCGTACCTTTTAATCATTGACAGATGTTGGCAAGTGACAAGGCAATCTCTCTGAGCAAAGGGGGCTATTTCCCCATGCCTTTGCCAACTAGCTCCTCTCTCTCAATAGCCAAGAAAGTTCTGCGAATGGCCTAGAACTCTTGGCACCTCAGAGCTTTCCAGACAGGCCGGACTCCTCTCTAAGGAGTGGGAAGAGCTACAGCAAGGAGGGGGAACAGGGTGCTCTAGAAATTCATCAGAAATAGGGGCGGGGTGGGGTGGGGGGGCTGGGGAGGCCAGGATAACATAATTCTAAGCCTGGCCTTCCCCAGGATTGTGGAGGGGCAGGGGACTCAGCCAATGCTCAACACCCTCACCAAACAGCCCTGCCCCTCCAGCCTCTGCCTCATGGGCAGCTGTGAGGTGGGAACAGGATAGTGGTCTGCAGTGGTCTCAGAGCTCACAGTGACAGGGGACAGCAGAACCAAAGGTCAGGGAACTGTCAGCATTTCCCAGGCGGTCACACAGGGCAAGCATGTTGCTCCACAGTCACAAGGACAAATGGGCTCCCTACTGCCTTCCTATTGCTCCTGCAGCTCCAAGCCTCTGGAGCGGGCAGTGGCAGGAGGGGGCAGGGAGCCCAGACTCACCTGAGGGAGAGGGCCACCCGGAGCTCTGACTTTCGACGTCTGGCTCAAGTCAGGGTTTCTGATACCATGCATAAGGCTGATGTGGCTCTCCAGGAGGGAGGGCCGAGGAAAGCTGGGGCTATCTTCTGTGCAATACCTGCAAAAGCAAGGCCAAGGTCAGGGAGTTCTCAGGCCGTGGGGCCCAGGGGAGCTGGGCAGCCAGAGGGAAGTCGCAGCAGATTCCAACTCCAGGCTCCCTCAGGCTCTTCACAAGGAGGCCAGGGGAAGAGAGAGGCTAGGCCTGGAGCTGGCAGACAGTCCCAGGGCTCGCCAGAGAGCATCCAGCCAGCAAGTCAGCCAACGGGCCAGAAGACTCCAAGTCCAGCTGTTAGTAGTACCTTTGACACCTGGCCCCACGCCATGGACTCACTCCCTGCTCCCTGGTCTCACTGCCCAGGGCCCCAAGTGCTGAGCAAGTGGTCAGCATGAAAGAGGCCAGAACATGCCCCAAACATGACCAGACAGGGTGCTTGGTCACGCCATCATCCCTCCTCTTAACACCCCTGATGAGTGGGCCAGCATGAGGTGTGTGTGGGGGGGAGGGGAATCAAGGGCCCCAGAGCCCCTGGCTTTTGACCGACTCAATGCATTTCCCCAGGTAGAACTTGACTTCATCAAGAACAGTCCCAAGGTGTTGAGGGCAGACTCTTGGTGAACGCCCACCTCTCCAGGGACTCACCCACAGGTGTACACCTTCTTCACTGTGTCGTGGTTGTTGCGGATGTGTTTGCGCAGGCTGTTGGGGGTGTGGAAGGACTGCTCGCACTGCCGGCACGGGTACCGTTTCAGCACCTAGGAGCGGCGTGGCAGGAGGCAAAGCGTCAGCTCCACGGGACAGCTCAGAGGACACCTTTCTCCTCGGCTGAGGTGTGCAAGAAGGGCACGAGCCGAAAACCTCACCATCTACATACTCACCCTGCTCCAGGCCACCCTACGGGGCCCCAGGAACCAGCTGCCACAGGGGCCTAGTCCCGGGGAGCCGGCAGCGTAGCAAGGGGCCTGCACTTACCCGCCCGTGGCTCTTTTTCATGTGGGACACGTAGCTCTCCCGGTCAGGGACCCACTCCTGACACTCCTGACAGGTCCAGCCCGTGGTCCTCAGCCGGGGCCTGGCTTCCGTCCTACGGTGGGCTTCTGACCTGCCCCAACGACTGGAGGACAGGGAGCTGCCCCGAGCAGCCACACTCGATGTTGGAGGCTCAGCAGGGACTCGAGAGCCGGGGCGGCTCGAGGACGTGTCCACTGAAGACTGGAGGCTTGACAGCTCGTCCAGGTTTCGGGGGACCCCGTGGGTGCTCTGGGGATGGGGAGAGCGATTACTGACTGGGCAAGGGGAGAGATGCACAGAGTCCAACCCCCGGTCTGGTGCCCGTGCCCTCCTCCCCGGCCTCTTGCCCCGGCGCAGCTCACCTTCACATGCTGCATCAGCTCTGGCTTCTGCGGGAACAAGAGCGGGCACTCGGGGCACTTGAAGACCCCCACCTGGGCCTGGCTGGCATTCTGGTAAAAATGCTGCTGGATGTGCCGCTTCTTGTTGAAGACCATTTCACAGGAGCACTTGTAAATGAGCCTGTGAGACAAGCCCGGGGCGGCGCGAGGCATCAGCCCACGGCTCTCAGAGCCAGTGTGGGCACTCCCCCATCTCCAGGTGTCCTCCTGGGCTCCAGCCCCAGGCCCACCCCTTCCCGCCCCACAAGGCTGGCACTCACTGGGAAGGCCTGTGGGGCTGGGAGGGATGCTGGGAGGCGCTGTGGTCAGCGGTGCTGCTGGCAGTCTTGAAGGCCATGGGGCAGAATGCACATTTGTGGAAGACCTGGCAGTGCCGCTCCTGGATGTGGCTTTTCAGCAAGGCCAAGGTCAGGTGGACGACACCACAGTGGATGCACCTAGACAGCAGAGGAGGGGATGTCAGACCCAGAGACGGGGTTGGAAGCATGGAGGCAGGAGCAGAGCTGTCATCGCAGGCAGGGGCTAACTCCCCTCCAGAGAGCACCCTGCCTCCCACCCGCCACGCACAGGTCCTTAAGTCAGCTGCGTGGATTCTTAACACAGGGCTGCGCCTGATTCTGCAGATGATGAGTTTCTTCCGATGGAACCCCCTGGCTAGGAGATGCTGTCGGAACGGACAGAAGAGAATGGTTCTGCAATGGCATAAACAATACACACTTGAGTCTGGCACTGCTGCAGGAGTCCAGGTGGGATTTGAGAGGGAGCCTGCGGAAAGCCTGGGCCTTCTCTGACAGGCTGGTTTTGATGAAGCGAGGATGGCTATATGACACAAGTACAGTCGTTTAAAATATTTGTGGAGAAATTGTCACAAGAGGGGGAAATGGGTATGAGACAAATAGGAAAAAAAAAAACTGAGCTGGAAGGGTATGTCCACTTTCACAGGCCCCAGCCTCCAAGCCCAGGGAAGTGGCCTAGAGCCATCCCATGGGCCTACTTGCAAGAGACCCCCTCCCTGGGGTTTCCCAGACTGTGAATCTCTACGGAGCAGACCACCTCGGCTTTCACAGGCCTCTTTATATTTAATGGACAGAAACATTCAGTAGGCCCCGGGTCAGGGGCTCAGAGCCCTCGGGCAGTGGTGCTGGTGCGATGGGACCATGTGCGGCCCGTTTGCGTCCCATTTCTCCAAGTCCTGCTGGCTGGCCACCTTGTTTTCAACGGGTTCGAATCAACGAAACAAAGGCCTGCCTTAAACAGCTCTTCAGAAACTGAGGCCTTTGGTGGCCCTGCCTTTTATTTTTATGTTTGAGGTTTTTTGATGGTGGCCCCATTGGCTTAACGTTTTAACGGGATTGGGATAAAAATGTTGTGCAGTCTTTCCATTCCCTTTTCACACTAATATTGCCTTTCCTTCAGCATCAAAGACAGCAGTGTCCTTTCTCCAGGCGAGCCGGCATTCGCTAAGGTTCCTGGTCCTTTCTCGTCTATGCAGTCCTTTTGTTGAACCCTCAGCTAAGAGGAGTGGGCGGGAGTGGAGAATGGTCTGACGTAACAGAAATAGTGCATATGTCTGTCTACAAATGCCTATAAACATACTCAGTCTCCCCTACACAACAACCCCCCCTACACACACACCCGTGGCGTTCCGTTGCTCCCTCTATCTCGTTCTGCTGGTTGCTATCACTGCCACTTGCATTAATCCCACCCCTACAGCCCTAGCATCCAAAGAGGCACTAGCAAAGATACTGTCGCAAAGAAGAACCTGGCTTCACTTAAGAATTCTTCTACTCCCAACTCTCTATAAGAATCCGGATCAAATTGGGAGGGGGGTGTGGTAAGGACACGACAGTACTCCAAATTCTCACATACGCCACACATTCTCGAGCAGAGAATATGAATTCCCAAAACCGCTGCCCTGAGATAATCTTAAACCTTAAGCCACAATTAGACCCTAATGTGTTCTGTAAGCCAAGCAGGAAATTAGCTCATTTCAAAAAGAATATTGGCTTTGGACACTGCTCCTTTGAAGAACATGCTGAATGAGATCCAATGAATCACAGCAACACGAAAGGTCAGATGGGAAACTTGGGGAGCTACTCCTTCATGTCAATGGGAGAGGAACACACACAGGCGCGCACCCCTTCCCCACCCACCCACATTCAGATTGACCAAATTTACAGGAGCAGTGTAACTGTTCACTTTATAAAGGCCACCGGAATTCATTCTACTGACCCAGTCTATTCACGGAGGAGGGCTTACTGAAATTAAGAACATAAGTGGGTCAAAGAGCAATCGCAAAGCACCCTCAGTAAACATCACGTAAGGTTTAGACAGAAAAGATGTGCACATAAAACAAAATCCAATCACTTAACAAACCCTCTGCACCAAAAATTTTAAGAAGCTCTGAAAAGCAATTGTAGAACTTTATGCTGTTAAAAAAAAAAAAAAAGCTTTATACCAGGTGGAGCAAAGGCGGGGTAGAAAGGGGGAACCAATTACAAGGATCTACGTATAACCTCCTCCCTGGGGGATGGACAACAGAAAAGTGAGACGTCAGACAGTGTAAGATATGACAAAATAATAATTTATAAATTATCAAGGGTTTATGAGGGAGGAGGGAGCAGCGAGGGAGGGGAAAATGAGGAGCTGATACCAAGGACTCAAGCAGAAAGCAAATGTTTTGAGAATGATGATGGCAACAAATACACTGGATTGTGATAAGCGTGGTATGAGCCCTCAGTAAAATGATTTAAAAAAAGAGAGAGAAAATTTTAAGCAAAATAAACTCATAGTCATATGCAGGGGGAAAAAGGCTTTAAGAAAGGCTAGAGAGCAGCCAAGTACTTAACTTTGCTAATAATCACAGCAAATAAAATAGTATTTTTTGCAAAGATTAAACTTGCTCTCTTTAAGGACATCATTGCAGACTCTCAAATTATCAATGAGAAGCAAAAAAAAAAATGTATTACACATGTGTAGGTTTTTCAGATTTTCTTCAGAAGAAAGCAAAAATAATAGAAAACATAAAATGAGCAAAACTTTGTATTGGAGTTTAATGAAATGGAACATCTGAATGCATATTGCTTGAGAGTTTTCTCAAAAACAATATTCACAGAATGGGAGAAAATATCTGCAAATCATATATTTGACTTGTATCCAGGATATACAAAGAGCTCTTTTTAAAAAAATGGGCAAAGGATCTAAAAGACATTTCTCCAAAGAAGATAACAAATGGGCAGTACGCTCATGCAAGGGTACTCAAGAGAAACATACCTTTAACCCACCGTGAGGAGCTATTTCACACCCACCACACACTACCAAGGTCAGGTCCCAACTCAGCAACCTGAGGCAGGATTTCTGAGGCTGTGAATCTTCGAGAGCTGACAGCCTCCACTTTCTTCCAGGGAGCACCTGGTGGGTTTGAACTGGTGACCTTGCAGTTAGCTTCCTATACTGCCACCAAGGGAGGCTCTTTTCACACTCACTTGGATGGCTATCATCAAAAAGTCAGACTAGTATTGATGAGGATGTGAAGAAACTGCAACATGTTGGTAGGAATATAAAAATGCTGCAGTCACTCGAGAGAAGAGTGTGGCCCTTCACATAGCCAGTCTACCCATCCTAGATATGTCCCCAAAGGCCTGAGAGATGCGATTCACATACTTGTACACCGATGATCACGGCAGCGCTTGTCACGATAACTTAAAAGTGAGAAGGGAAAAAAATATCACGTGCCCATCCACAAAGGGATAAATGTCATACATCCATACAATGGAATATTATGTGGCCATAAAAAGAATGAAGTAACGGAAATGCTACATCATGGATACATCTTGAAAACACTGGAAACATTAAAGACCACATTTAAGATCACATGCCAGAAAACTCTATATTAAATGTCCCAAAGAGGCAAATCTATAGCCAGAAAGTCAATCTGTGGTCGCCTAGGGCTGGGGGCACTCTTCTTGTTGGGGTGGTGAAAATGCTCTACCATTAATTGTGGTGATGGTTGTACAACTCTGTGACTACACTAAAAAGCATTGAACCGGATTGCATGATACATGAATTCTATCTCAGTAAAGCCGTTACTCAAAAAAAAAAAAAAATCAAACCATCCTCGTCTTAAGTGTAAAAAATACTGTATTGATGCATAGGTCTTCTGGGTTCACTCACTGATCACCGAAGGTTTTAATACCAATTTCTTCAATAATCCCTTTAGCTAAATCACAGGACAGTTTTACCTGACATTACAGAAGTAAAATGAAAGATTCACCTAAAACCACATCCCCACACAAAACTTGCTATCAGTCCATCCACGCTATTGAAAATTTCTTGGATTTCAGCTTCAAAGATAAAAATGTAAGTGTTAATAGCATTGCTATTGGATTGGGGTTGACCTTGGGACATGGATGTACACATTTAGGCCAGAGTTGGAAGGATAGTGTCAAAGGTTAGAGGGCCTTGTAATAAGACGTTTGGGTGTCTGGCTGAAAAAGGTCGCCTGGGAGGCTGCCACACAACGATCTGCCACGTGGTGGCAAAGGCTCTGTATGCTCTTGTCTGTCTGGGCTCAGTCTTGCTTTCAGCACACTCCAGGCTCTCCAATCTTCATAACACATGAAAGACATTAGGCTACATTTGGAAATGCTTATGCCAAGGCAGAAATCTGGGAGTCATCACCGACACCTCCCCATTCCTCAACCTCACACACATACTCCCATCAAATCCTGGGGCTTCTGAGTCCTAACTCTCTCTCAAATCAACCTTATCCTCCCCATCCCCAGAGCCAGGCCCGAGCTAAAGGCCTGGTTGTCTCCTCAGGATTATTTCACCCTCCACTCTCCCTCCCAGTCCCTTCCCTCTCTCAGGACAGGTCAGCTTCCCCCAGTGAGCTTTTAAATGCAGAGGCAACGCTGGTTCTTCCCTGGATAAAGTCCACGTGTCTGCCAAGGAATACAAGGTCTCGCAGGGCCTGGCCTCTGCCTTCGTCCTCGTCTCCTTCCTTACCAACCCGGATTCCTTTTATCCTGACACACTTCTAACTGTGCGTCGTCCCGTAACCCCTGCTGCGAGTGCTTGCGCCCCTGCCTGAACCTTGCCAGGCAAGCTCTTCCCTCTGCCTGAAAAGCTCTCACTAGCTCCCTCGGCCTCTCTCCTCTCTTCAACAGAATGCTGCTGCCCCTGCAGAACTTGCCGCTCTGAGTTATAAATCGCCTGTGCACACACCTGCAACCCACCAGACTGATGCCCCTTGAGAGGGCGACTGCGTCTTAATCACCTCTGTGTGCCCAGGGTCCTGAGCTATGCTAACGTCAAACATGGGCTTCAATAAATGCAGAATAAACGAATGAAGCTCACCATCTTTTTAAAACACCAAAGCACTGAGAAACCTTACTAAATTGGGGCAAATATTCATTTTCAAAGGTGAGAAAGTGGAGCCTCGGACAGTACAGAAACTCCCACATGGGACAAATCAGCAGAGGCTACCAGGCTGGGTCGGAGTAGGGTTAGCGTCCTCACAGCCCTGCAGGAGGTCCCCTCTACTTAAGACTGTGGCCCTGAAGGTGACTGCTTGCTTCTATAGCTTTGACACAATGTAGGAAGCGCAGGCTAAAATAAATAAATCTCTTCGTTTTTTTATGAAGCTGTTTGTTTGTTTGTTTGTTTGTTTCTTCCATCCTTTTGGTTTTGACTGCTGCTCACATAAAAATGAACACTAACCAAAACAGAGATCCAGGAACCCTCTGTGTGTGCTGTTTTGCAGCGCTGTCTGTTAATGAAAAATTGAGGCCATTTGCAAGTACCCCGGTTGGGGATCTTATCATCGCAACGGTATTTCAAATCCAACATGCCAGCACAAGAAACTCTGGGAGCAAATGCACTGAAATTGGGGGGCAACTTGACAAAAGTGAATGGTATATACATCCTCTGCCTTGGTGGCGCGCAGTTAAGTGCTCGGCGGCCACTAAAAGTTGGCAAGCCGAGCCGAGCCTGCACCTCTGTGGAAGAAAGGCCCGGTGATCCGCTCAGGCAAGATGACGGCCCAGGAGAGGGACCCCGGGGGCAGCTCCACTCATGAACCCAGGGTTCATGCAACAGTACCCGAGGACAGCAAACTACTTAAACCCTGACACACACACCCCCGCCCCCCCCAGATGACTTGGTTTTTTGGCAGCTGATATTTGTCAACGTGCTATTCTCCTCCTTTTTCCGTTCTCTACAAAATATAAAGGCCTGACTGAGCCAATCAAGGTCCTTATCCCATTAGGGCGGGGCAGCGCCCTCATTCTGAAATGTGTTGCCCCGGGAAGAGGCCCAGCCCTGGGAAGTTGCGGCAGCACCCACCTGTAGCCCACCTTGCGGGCATAGTGCAGGCAATTCTCCTTGACGTGGGTCTGGAAATAGGCAGAGCGGCAGAGGGCCCCACACTCCGGGCAGCAGTAGGGGGACTTGTGAGCGTGGATCCGCTGGTGGGCGCAGAAACTGCACTGGTTGGGCAACAGCATCTGGCACACCTGGCAGGTCTAGGAGAGAGCACCGAGAGAGTAGGCCCAGCCTCCCAGTCAGAGCTGCCTAGCTCTCCTGGGATTCAGGCCAGAGTAACCAACCCCCAACCACTCAATCCTGCAGGGTCCACAGGACACTTGTGGTATGTCTGACACTGACACCCGGGGGCTGTGCCTTCCTTCCGCCTCATGCATCAGAGACAAACCCTGGCTCTCTCTTCCCAAGTATGAGTCCTGTCCTCTAGGACTGTTAGGGACTTCAAAAAGTTTGTGAAAGACTGGATTGCAAAGATAATGGAATTTTTCCATGGGATTTTTGAAGCCCCCTCTTAACTGCTCCCCGCACCACCACCCCACCTCGGGCTTAACACAGGACCAATTTTTTCTTTCTAGAGCCCTAAGCAAGAGCACCCTACAGTACTAGAACCTTCCTGGTGACACTGGGCCTCGTTCTGGTAATCCTTCTCACCACACACACAAAACGGAGCAATAGAAGGATAAGCCAAAAACCCATCACCATGCACACCTACAGGGAAGGAGGGAGCAGGGTGAAAGTCAGGGGTGGAAGCAAGACTTCTCTGGGTGTGTCTGAAGTTTTAACTTTGGAAGCAGTCCAATATTTTTTATACTTTTCCAAATTGGAGTTCATTTAAATAAAAACATTCCTGAAAAACTGAAACCAGGCTACAGCAGTCTAACTATATATACAAAGGTGTTTCTAAAAGTTCCTGGGAGCACAATGTAATTAAAAGGTAATGGTTTGTTTGTGTGCCCCCCTAACCCCGCAAAAGAGACCAGGCCTATTGCTCAGAGACTGACAGAACTCTCAAGACGACGGACGGCCCTTAGTCACTCTTTAGGTCTGGAACTGAACTCTGGCTACAACAATCAACCATTTAAGATCCAAAGGGCTGCATTTGCCCAAGAACAAAGCACAGAGGGTCAGGAAAGGAGAAGGGGTGGAAGCCGGAAATACCGAGACGCAAGGCATCCATGATGGTATACGGAAGGGCTGCCAACCGAGGAGGTGAAAGCAAAGGTGTTCTGAACTGACAAGTGCAAAAGTGATGATCTCTTCTCTGTAAACCTGCAAGCAATTCACAATCAAATGTAACTTTTCTATGAGCTGTTGGAAGCCTAGGCACACAAAGAAAGGAATGAGCCCCCAGCAATCTTAAAATGTGGGATTTTGGCTGACACACTCTCATTGTGAAGACAGTCTGAGGGCAAAAAGAACTTCAAGTACACCTGAAACTTGATGCAGCTGTCTTAACGTTAGAAATACTGGTTTTGGTATATTTTTAAAGTCTTGTATGTAGATTGAAGAATAAATCAATACACTGGAGGAAAAATGTAGGAACCAAAAGTGTTAGCAGAAAAATCAGAAGTTACATAAAACACTAATTTTAAGTGCCAGTGTAAATTCATGTCTTTCCTTTTTAAAAAATACTAGTATGCATTCACTTGCTCTGACCACTGAAAAGTCCTCGCCGCAGACGCAGCAGCAGCCCCGGCAGCAGTCAGCCTCTCTGGGGCTGAAAACACAGCACCAAAGAGAGCCCAGCTCCTTGGAGCCAGAGCAGGTTCTAGGTTTAGCACAAGACACGCACCAGATCACCTCATTGGGGCTGAAGCAAAGAAAGGACACTCTCAAGGAGTAAGAGGACACGAGACTGCTTTTCCCACTGACCGAAGGTGGCGTAACTTCAGCATCAGAAATAATTAATAAGCACAGTGAAGGTATAAAAATCAGCAACTCATTATAACAAAAATAATAAGAGACTTTTTCAACACCGTTTGAAACTGCTAGGGCACCAACTCATTACTTAGAAAATGGTTCATCAAAGGATATAAATCCTGTTTTCACCCCATTTTACAACATAAACTGTGTTTCACTAGGACCACAAGGCCCTCATAGAAGGAAACCTGCTCCATACAGAAGTTCAACTAACAACGAAAAAAGAAACAATACAATTAGAAAAACATTCTTCTGCAGCTCCTAACAGAAGCAATGATTAGGAGGCTAAGTCAGAAAGTACTGCTACAAAGTCAGAGAGACCTTTGGGAAGCAAAAGGTGAAGCTCTGGTTTTCTGACCAGGCCCTCCATCGAGGCTCAGCCCCTCTCACCCTTCCTTCCTGCACCAGCAGGCGCCCTTCCACTTACACCGCATCAAGCAGCCCTTTGGGCACCCTTAAGGGGCTCCAGTGGGCTCCTTTTTTTCAGTGGTGCATTTGGGGGCCAGAAATAAGTCTGAAGAGGCAAGATCCAGGCTGTAGGGCAGACGGGGAAAGGTTCCCCAATGAAACGCTCCTAGGACAGCCCTCCCCACCCTTGAAGGCAGAGCAGGCAGAGTGTTGTGGGGGGGAAATTCCTTGACCTTTTTCTCAACAATGCTGTTTTTGATGTTCTTAAAACGTCTTCATAAGAAACCCCTAAGACTTCCTGTGTCCTTCGAGAAAAATCTATCAAGCTTACTCTTCAGGAATCTGAAAGACTGTCACCATATCCCTCGGAGCTGACCGCTCTGTCTTGAATGTCAATGGGCCAGCAGATCCCCCCAGAGGCCAATGTTTTGCTTGGACCTTAGGGGAAGGCACTCTAGAAGGGCATTTCTGAGAGAGCTTGTCTGCAGCCGTTCACTGACACACAGACAGGTGTGAACATGCCGTGTTTGGAACAAGCCTATGCGTGTGTGAACTGGAACCCCAGGAGCATTATGTTGTGACTCACCCTCATATTTGGGAGTGCAGTTCCTGGGTGGTGCAAATGGCCAATGTGCTTGGCTGCAGGTTTGAGTCTACCTGGAGGCACCTCAGAAGCAAGTCCTGGCAATCTCCCGAGGAAAACACGGCCTTGGAGTGTAGTTCTACTCCTACACCCGGTGGTGTCTCCATGAGCTGGTGTCAATTTGACAACAACCGGTTTCGTTGATGGAGACTGTGGGGGACCTGATAATGAAGGACTGAAACACCACAATCCGGACAAGTTCAACACCTTTGAAAAGAAAGCTAGCAGGCACTCTGTGGCCCCCGAAGTCGCGAGATAGGAAGTCCTGTTTCATCTTCATGCTCCGTTCAAAAGTGACCCTGAATCCAACCACGCCTGCAGAACTCAGTTCTAGGCCTCAGAAGAAACCCAGGGTACAGAAGGACATATCAGTCACATGAAGAAGCACTCAATCACACCCAGAACTGTCCAGGAAAGTCCCCGGGACACGTGGCCCCATCTTTTAAAGAAGCCAATGGCATGAGGAGGAGGAGAAAAGAAAGAGGGAAGATGACTGCAAAGAAGTACAAGTCTAGATGACAAGATTTAAGAGACTCAATAAACAAATGTTTAAACATGTGGTCTATGTTTAGATCCTGATTCAAAACAAGCCCAAGTGTAAAAAGACACTTTTTGACATAATTGGGGCAATCTGAAAATGGCTTGTAAATTTTGTTCGATGTGTTGACACAGTAGTTTACACAAACTGTAAGAATGAGAAACTTTACACAAACTGTAAGAATGCTGACATCCTGCCCCAACAGGGTGGCTGGGAGCAGAGAGGAAGGATGAAAAGATCCCTTCAGGTGCAGGCTTCCAGGAAGAAGACAGTGGTCCCAAACGTGCTGCCCTTACTCTGGAGTGGAGCCAAAGCCACACCCAACCTGTCTACCCACCGCCGGGGCACTGTTTCAGGAAACCACCACCAAGGCTAGTCTCTGACCCCAGGGTGCAAGTCTTACTCCGCTCCTTGAGGTTGGAGGCCACCTTGCCACCATGACTGCCGCGGGAACTGGTGAGGGTTGTGAGCCAGGCTGAGGGAAGGACCGATAGCCTCCCTCCCTTCCAGCCTGTGCCCACTAGAGGGGAATAACACGGAGATACAGGAAAAGAAGGGGGCCAACAGGACCCTGTGCCCAGAGCTCTGCCTGATCAGATCTGAGAGGGGAATAGGACAACAAACAGAACAGGCCCGGACACCAGCCCACCACTGATCACGTGACTCAGAAACAGTAATACCGGCTCTCCCCACCCCACCAGGCAGGGTGGACAGGAAGGATGCCAAAGCCTGAGGAAAGAGCCCGAGCCCCCACTCGCCACCGGGCACCCGAGAAGGAAAAGACAAAGTGAAACAGAGGGCACGGATGAGAAACAACAAAGGAACCCCTGCCTGTTGCTGCTCCCCTCCTCTTGGGAGCTGGGTCCTCTGTCCAAGCCCACCAAACTCCGCTTCCTGGCCCTAACCCACACCTCAAAGCCACCCCCACCATCAGCAACCCGTCCTCATCCCACCCCTCCTCCAAACTCACCCTGCAGGCCCAGCTTACAGACCACCTCCACCAAAAGCACTTTCCCTAAACCTGTGGCACCCAGGCCTCTGTGTTTATGACCCAGCTTAGGTTTGAGTCAAATAATTAGCATGGTCAGAAACTGACCAAAAGGTTGGAGGTTCAAGCCCACCAAAAAGGAAAGGCCTCATGGCATGAACTTCAAAAAAAAAACATAAAAAGTCAGCCACGGGAAACCTGATGGAGCCCAGATTTACTCTGATCCACACGGGCTGTCACAAGTCAGCGTCAACCCCATGGCATCCTGCTATCGTCCCCATCCGAGTAACTGCAACCATTTGGGTGGTAATGCCTGCCCTTGCTAAACCTCTATGAGCTCCTGGAGGAAAGATGTGACCTGGCCCAGAGCCCGCAGACACTGAGGAACCATGGGCAGAGCCTATGGGTCACCAATAAGCACACAGGCCCCTGGTCGTGGTAAAGCTAAAGTGGCTGTGTTTCCCCTTCCTCTCAGGTCTCTGGAGCCCTGGCTTTGGGAAGGCCAAGTGAGGGGGTGGACTTGCCAAATCAGAGAGAGAACCTGGAGGGAAAAAGGACTCTTGAAGGTTTGAGGGCCTCCTTGTGCCGCCAGCAGCCTTCTGGGCCATGTCTGGAGGCAGCCCCTTGCCAGGACTTTGCTAATGCAGACAGCCTCTGACACCAAGGACGTCACAGAGAGGTGTGACACAGAAGGCCTTCAAACCCAAGCGACTGACCAACAAATTGATCCCCTCAAATATAACCAAGCATGGGAACAAGCAGACAGGCCTAACAGGTCAGAACACCAGGAAAGGAGGACGCCAGAACCTCTGTGCCGGACCCACAAGCCAGGCGACTGCCCTTCCTTCGACATCAGCCCTGGTGCAGTCCACCCACACGGGCACAGCTGGGCCCACTGCAGGCTGGACGACAGCACCTTGTACACACGGCTGGGCTGTCAGATGTACAGACTGAGGAGGGAGCAGAGACTCTCTGAGTTCCACCCCTGGGTTCTCTGGGACAGGGCCTGGACAGGGCTGACTCCTGCCAGAGGCCAGAGCGAAACCACCCAGCCGGGACCTAACTTGGGGCCTGCCACAGATTGCCTGGCAGCCCCCTGGAGGGTGAGGTGAGTGGAAGGGCACGGTCATGGATCCTCAGGTGTCCCCTTGGTTGTGGGCAGGATGTCTTGCCCATCAACCCCAGCCACCGCTGCCGGGTCGATCCTGACTCCTAGGGACGGACCAGGAAGGCAGAGGAGAAGGGCCTCCAGGGGCTGCCAAGGCTGTCCATATTTACGGAAGCAGCCTGCCACATCTTTTGATCAGCTGGTGGGTTTGAACCACTGACCTTTTGGTTGGCAGTCAAGCGCTTAACCTCTGTGCCACCCGGACTCCTGAATAAAGCCCCAACATGACCTATTCAGGTGAGTGGCTAGCCATCAAGTCAGACACCCTCCCCCAGGACTCAGCAATGAGGGGGCTTCCTTCCAGGCTCCAGGCCCTGGGGGGTGGTTGTGCTTACCAGCCCCTCGGTCTCCTCCGCCAGCCTCTGAAGGTGTGCAGCCAGGGCAATGTAGTCCTGCACCGGCTTGTGGCATTCAAGACACTTGAGTCTGTACCGGATGAGCCGCACGGGGTCTGGGTAGAGGGGCAAGGCTGGTGGAGCGGGGCTGGCGGGGCCCGAGGGGAGGTCGGGTTTCGGGGAGGGCGAGGGGGCTGGGGCTGCTGGTGGCGTGGAGTTCACAGGGGCCGACACAAACATCTGGTCTGCAGAGATGGGCTTCATGAGGAGCTGGGAGCACTGCATGACCAGCCCCTTGCTCTTGTGGTCGCGGGCGTGCCGCAGCAGGCTGCACTTGTTGAAGAAGAGCAGCGTCTTGGAGCACAGTGTGCACAGCACCTCGATGTGGACGCTGCGCCGGCTGTAGTGCTGGCTCAGGCTCTTCTCTAAGGCAAAGGCGTCGCCACACTCCAGGCAGCAGTAGCCGCTGGCCGGCACGTGGATCCTGCTGTCCACCGGGGGGCTGAGGTTTGGTGCGTAGACGGGCACGGGGTTGGCGCTGTGGAGGACCTTGTTGAAGAGTTCCACGGCCAGCGGGGCAGCCTTCTTCACCTGGTGGACCAGGGGCACCGACATCTGCGTGAGCTGGGGCTGGCTCCGCCTCGGAGCCGAGGACTTGGCCGTCACGGACGCAGCGACACTGTGGGGGACCAGGTTCAGGTTGGCCAGGTGGACAGCTTTGGGCAGGAGGTTGGCTGGGGCCAGGCTGGAGGCCTGCAGGACTGAGCTCTGCTGCTGCTTCCGGCCGGTCTGTGAGCCCACCGCTGCCCCCTTCGAGGTCCAGGGCCCGGAGCTGCAGCTGGGAGACGGAGGCTCCCCAGCCTTGCTCTCCTCTCCTTTCAGGTCCTCCTGGGGGCTCCCTGAATTTAGGTCCACCTCAGAAAAGTGCTCCTCCACAGGCAGGGTGACGCCCTCGTCCCCCGGCACCTCACTGGGGGCCTCAGCACTGGCACTCCCAAGAGGCGATCCAACGGGGGACTTAGTTGGGTCATCAGGGTCTGGCAGGATCCTGGTGACGGTCCGTTTGATTTCCCCTGACGATGTCTTAATAGTTTTGATTCTGACTTTGGGAATTGCTGGAGGGGAGCTGGCAGCCACCGAAGGGGAGCCTTTGCTGCTACTGTCACTGCAAATGCTCCGAGGGCTGTCTGATGGCTTGATACTTTTCCTGGGGGCCTCCAGAGGGCTCCGGGGACTCTTTGGTGACTTGGGCATTTTGGGGCTCCCTTTAGAACCCTCCTTAGGGGGCCCTGAGGGATCTTTTGTGTGACCAGGCTGGTCCTCCTTGGTGACACTGGCCGCTCTCTTGGCCTGCAGGGCCACCAGGGCTGCCACACAGGAGGACAGTTTGGAATGAACCGGCTTAAGACGCTGCCGAGGGGGCACTGCCGAGCACGGGCCAAGCTCGGGGGCCAGTCCTCTGGACTCCGCGATTCTGTTGCTGGGGTGGCTGTTGAACTCCAAAGCATCGCCAAAGAACCGGCTGGCCTGCAGCTCCTTGTGAGACTGGGCTGCCTTCAGCCCACCCCGCTCCGGTTCCTGCTGGGTCTCCAGGGGCAGCGGCTCTGGCTTCGGCTCTTTCTTACAGAAGTGATCAAACATGTGTAGCTCCGGAACTGGGAACTTACCCAGAGCTTCCAGGGCTGGGCCGCCCACGGGAGGGGGTGGGAAGTAACTGTCAGGGTGCTTGGGCTTCATCCCAAACCCGTTGTCTTTGATGGTGTCCTCGGACTCGGGGCTGGAGATCGGACTGAACTGGTTAAAGGTTGGTAATGGCTCTGACTTGGGTGGCTCCAGCTTGCCAGGAAAGCTCCTCACGCTGTCTCCGTTCATGAAGGTGGAATCGAACTTCCCACAGTTGTGCCCCAGGCTGTGGGGGTCTGATGGCAGGTCCGGGCCCCGGAACCCATTGTGTAGGAGGCTGGGAGTGATGTGGTCTTTCTCCGCTTCAAAGGACTCCTGGCGGCTGGTGTTCTTGACAATGACACTCACGGCCGGCACATCTGGGGCTGACCCCGAGTGAGACAGGGACACGCTGTCGTCCATACACATGCCGGAAGCCTTGAGGGGATTCTCATTCTCCTCGCTGGGGGTCTGGATGGCCTCCTTGGCATCAAGGCTGGTGGGATCTGGGATGTCAAAGGCAGCCAGAAGATCATCAAAATCAGGGGTTTTCATGTCCCCCATGGCTGGATGCTGGCAAAGGCTATGAAAGAAACAGTAAACAGAAAAAGCGGTCACCAGGATGCCACAGGATTTTGTCCAGCTTAGTCAACACCACATACCCACCCCGATGCACATGCCGCCAGTACACCCCTGAAGACCCCTAGCACTATGCAAAGAAAATAACACACCTAGCAAATTTTATTCCAAGTTTTTAAAATATTGTGATGAGGCAGGTTGAAGAAGGATGTTTACACCCGGTGACAAGCCAGCCTGGGAAACCCTAAACCTTGATGTTTGGGTATTCCTGGCTGGTCTGCAGAGCCCAGAAGTAAGTACACATGCACAGCACACTCTCTTGACTTGTCAGAGAGAAGCATCACGCCATGAGCAAGTGCTCTGGCAAAAGGCCCATGGCTCAAGCCCTTACAGAAACACATACGTCAGCATCTTCCGCTTTAGAAAACTCCTTATTCGTAGGAGACTTGGCTAGAATATCCTCTGCTAACTTTCTCTTAGTAACCTTTGTATTTGTGCTATATGAATTCAATCAAATCCGAAAACCAGTTGCTAGTGCCAGGGTTTGTGCTTCACCGTCTCCTGAATCAACTCCAGGGCCATTGTTTCCAGAGAGCACTTTGTTCTATTCGGCTGTTGCCCTCAGTTCCTTGATTTTCCCAGAGTTGTAAGTGTGGGTAATGGGAGGTGGTTACCCGTGAGGATGACTGGTTATCAAATTCATCTGGGGGCAGATTGGGGAAAGCCCTACATCTATTTTAACTTACTACACTAGCACACACACCCGTTTCCTTCCTGATCTCAGGAAGCAGAGTTACAGAAGGATGGTGAAAGGAACATGCATGGCCTTAGAAAGAGGCCTTCCATTAGGGAGGTACTGTAACACTCACACTGACAGCAAACATGAATCTGGCTGGCTCCAGCCCGCTACAGAAGGGTGTGGAGGGGTAGGGGTGGGGGGGGAAACAGGATGGAAACCCACCACATCCCTCATTCAGTCCTAAATCTTGCATCTGCTTTAGCACCCTGGGGACATCCTGGTACAACACACTTCTTACACTGTGGTTATGCCAACCATTCTCTGGATGCAGGCTGGCATCCAGTTATAGTCTCGAAAAGCAACAGGATCACACAGTGCTTCTTCCATGTGGGCTTTGTTGCTTCTGAGCTAGATGGCCGATTGTTTGCTGAAGGGATCAGGTATCAGACATCAACAAAAACCATATCATTGTGAATGGGGGGGTTCAGATTGGGGACCCAAAGCCCATCTGTAGGCA